ACTCCCCTAATGGTGGATCATTAAAATATTTAATACATGTAGTATTACTTCTATTGAAGAAAAATCAGCTATAGATGATCAACCTCTTCGAGAGGAAGGTCATGAGTTTGATGTTTTAGCTATTGAACAAGCTGAAAAAACAGATAAATTTTATCAAACAAAAGTTTTAGAACTCCAAGCAAATCCAAATAAACATTCTTATGTTCTTGAAAAGGAAATTTTATATAAATTATCGAATTCTGGTATATCTAAACAAAAATTACTTTATGTGCCTCCTACAATGTTAAAACAATTATTAACTGCTTATCATGATGTTCCATGGGCAGGGGTGGCCCCACCGGGGGGGTGTCGGGGGTGGAACACCCCCCTAATCTTAGAAAAATTCTATTTTTTGCTCAGCAAAATCAAAAATTTTTCTTCCATTTGTCATGAAAAATAATGTTACACCCCCCCCAAAATTAAAAAATTCCACCTTTTACTGCAAAAATTTCGCGACACCCCCCCATTGTTGGTTGACTCGGGCCATCCCTGTCCATGGGCAGGTCATTTTGGTTTTCACCGGACTTATTGGAAATTAAAAGATAAATATTGGTGGCCTGATATGAAAACTACCATTAAAAATTATATTAAAAGTTGTTTAAAATGTCAAAAGTTTAATATTGAACGTCGTAAAGGTCCTGGTTTATTACATCCTGTAGAAGCACCATCTGGTCCTTTCCAGTTAATTGGTATTGATTATACAGGTCCTTTTCCAACAACACCTCAACGAAATAAATATGTCTTAGCAATTACTGACTATTTTACCAAATGGGTTATTGCTATTCCTTTACCAAATCAAACAGCCCGAACAACAGCTGAAGCTTTATATGAACACTATATATGTATTTATGGTGTACCAATGAGAATTCTTTCTGATCAAGGTTCGCATTTCAATAATGAATTGATGGTTGCATTTACTCAATTATTAGGTTGTCATCACATAAAATCAACTCCGTATCATCCACAAACAAATGGTGCTATTGAGAGATTTAATGCAACCTTTGAACGTCAATTAGCAAAAGTAACTGATCAACAAATTAATGATTGGGACATTCATCTGAAATCAATAACGTTTGCGTATAATACAGGACAGCATGCGACAACAAAACTTTCACCATATCAATTACAATTTGGTCGAAATCTTACATTACCACCTGATAGACCAAGAAGATATTACGAATTTTCGAAACCAAATGATTATTTTCATTATTTTAAACAAACATTGAAGATTTATTATAAATATGCCATCATGAACAGCAAACAACAACAGCAAATCTATAAGAAATATTTCGATCATAATCGTCCTGATATCCACTATTCAACTGGTGATCAAGTATTAAAACGAATTTCAATTAATCGTTCAAAATTAGCTACACTTTATTCTAATCCTATGACGGTTATTAAAGAAATGCACCCGACTTACTTAATCCAAGATCCAACTGAGAAAAAAATTTATCAAGTTCATGTATCACAATTACGTACTTGTAATTCAAATTATATACAGTAATAAAAAAAAAAAAAACATTATTACTGACTATTACTTATCTCACGACGACACCTATCTTAAAAGAAAAAAAAAAGACTTCTTAACTATGGTCAGCTTACTTATGGTTATTTATTTATTTATTTATTTATCTTAAACACTTATTATTTTTCCTTTGTTTATTATTTATGTTGTATTATATGCTATTCACTTTATATGATCTTATAGAATTATATTACATTACATTTATCTCTTATGTTTATTTTTTAATTTTATTTTAATTTTTTGTTTTAGTACATATATATTTTATTATCTACAACTTGTTATTCTATTACCAACAATACAAGTCATCTAACCACATTGAACAATTTATCCATCGTTGATTATGATCAATCATTTATATTTACTCATACATGTTTATCTTCATGATTTATTCCTTTATTAACATCATTATAAAATTTGATTAACCTCATTTTATTAAACTAAACAAGCAACAAATAAACCAACAAATACATCAACATTTTATATATATATACTTCAACAACGTACAACAATTATTTAATTGAATGTATTTATGACAGTTATTGTCGCCATTCCCTTACAACATTATTCATTTGATTATTTATTTACTTATTTACCATCATCTATTATATTAATCATAAGTTTGTATTGATTTATAATTATTTCTTCTATAACTGGTGTTAATATTATATTTATATTATATTATTATTGATGATTAAATCGGTGAAAGTTTTTTTTACATTAAGTATTTTATATTACAACTAATCTCATTCGTGATATTTTTTTTCTCATATTCATCGCTATCTTGATCTTATTTCTTTATAATTATTATCATTTGCCTTTACTAATCACTGTTTTTTTTGTACTTATTTGAAAAGTAAAACATTTATTTTTAGGACGTGCTGTATTATTTACATTTAATTTACTTTTGTTATTGGTTTATATAATTCATTATAAAAATAATGTCTGATATACAGTCATCATCAATCCCATCTACATCTAAAGGTAATAAAAATCGTCAAATAAATAAACAAGAAAAAGAAAATTTATATCAATCTCTCTTTCCACCATATGTTCACCTTCATCAACATTCAATTTTTTTCATCAACAACTTAATCACATTAGATGAAATTAATCATTTAATAAAATTTGCATCAACAACAACACATTTTATATTTGACACAGAGCCCGACAAGTATACAAATGAACCTGCAATTATACAGATTTATTTCATGAATGATGTTAATGTTGAATCTCCCATGTTATTAATTGAAATAAAATTTATTGAATCATTATCATCAGCTGATCGTCAACACCTTCAACAATTATTCAATAATATTTTTCGTTATGATAGTCATATATATACTTGGGGTCCACTTCTTTTTGAATTATTTCCATTTTTAGAATATGGATTATTTACTTATCCTATTCTATCTCATATACATAATGCTCAAGTTAGATTTACTTCTTGGTTTAATAAAATTGGTTAAATACAACAACATTAAATTCAAATGATTCATCTGATGATCCAACTGATTCAATTATCTTACATGCTCCATCAATTGATCCATCATTATTTATTCCAGCACAACTTATGAACAAAATACAAAATTATTATTAAATGAATTGTGGAGCCTCCAAGATACAATAGCTTATGTATTTAATCAATATTTATCAAAACAATATACATTAAGAAAATGGTCTATTGGTCTTGATGTTCGTCTTCCAAATCGTGATCCACAATTCTCTTCTTCTTATCGTCGTAAATTAGTTAAATATGCTATCTATGATTGTCTATCAATGGCTCAATTATTACTCTTTATTTCCAATTCAAACATCTCCACTAATACTACATGTATTAAATATTTTAATGATCCACCATTAGGGGAGT